ACATATTTCATTATTTCTGAAGTCTATTTCTACCTATTCCTACCCTCAATCCGTTTTCCCCTCCCTAAACAGTCCTCAAGGCTTCTGAGCTCTAAAATTCACCAGCCTCGCTTAAGGTGCAAGTTACAAAAATTCAACTCAGATGCTGAAGCATTAAAATGGACCTCACCAGCTCACATATACCTGAAAAGTCCATGAGACGGATCCAAATCTGAGACCGGATCCAGGTGTTGGACCAACGTCACCAGGAATCTCTATGTTTCTTGAGTGTGCTTCTTTCTCAGGCAGGGTCCTCCACCCTTACAGCAGCAAAGATGGTCACCAGAAGCTCCATGCGTCCTTGGCCCTTAGTGGCCGCCATGTCAGCCAGCAAGAGAGAATAGCCTTTCCCATTCAGTTTCAGGGGAGTGGGGGGAAGCCCTGAGGGAAGCTCTCTTTGGTCAATGTGGGTCACGTGCCCATCCCCGGCCTAGGACCCACCCTTAGACATGGAGGTAGTCCCACTGAACCACAAAGACTGGCGATGGAGAAGAGGTGAGTTTTAAGAAAGGAAAAGGATGCTAGAGAAGTTAAAACCACAGGTGTACGTATATAGTTAATGCCCCAACCCTAACTGGCCTACTCCCTCTTACATTTCTGATTCTGGAGAATATGATGGGTCACCCACCCTTGGATTAAATTCACCTGGTTGTGTCCCTTCTTAGACTAGCATGAGAAAGGTCAGATCCATGGGTAGCCCTTCTCTTGGGAGTCTCATTTAATCATAAAGTGGATCCTGACCCTTTTTACTCTTTTCTTCCAGCTGGATCCTGAACCTCTTCCATGAAAGAATTGAAAACAACCTCAAAAATATCTTGAACCAAAAGGTAAACAGAGGATAAGCAGATTTGTAGTTAAGGATCATTGGCATGAACATAGTTGATATTTGGAAACGGCCTTGTCTCTTAAGCATGTTGCTGTTTGAATTCATTTGGCAAAATCCTCCTCATTGCAAAGGCAAACCTTAGGGCTTCCCCCAGTTTGTATGATCACATATGCTAAGCTGGCATTTGAAACTGACAAAGTGTTTGATATCTAGTTATAGATAATATTAGAGGGATATGGGGAAATGACTTTGGATCCCTGCCTCACACCATACACAAAAATCAACCCCTGGTGGGCTAGGATTTAAATGCCAAAACAAATCTAAAACTTTTTAGGAGAACGCCTAGGATATCTTTCTCACCGTTAAGGATAGAAAAATATCTCTTAACTAAGATTATCCCTGCTCCAAAAAGTGCATCATATTGAGCACAGTATTGGGGTTGGCCCTCAGTATCCCTCACCTCTGGAAAAAGCCTTGGTCTTGGAGGCAAAGAGGCGCCTCTTCCATTCACCCTTTGGGTATCTTTGAGCAAGTCGATGCACTCCTTGGAGTGTCAGAGATGGTGTAGGAATAGAGGAGATTAGGCAATCGCAAGACTAGGGCTTCTGGGATCTCCCAAGCTGGAACGCTTGGCTTACAGAGCAGTAAATTGGTGGCTGTAATTCTGGGGTGAACCCTCCTTCTGGAATTTCTTTGAAGCCCTCTGGTGGCCGTAGTTAGTATTGCCTCCAGACCAGGTACCCTGGCTCCTTACAGCTCCCTTATTCACAGATGGCCAGAACCCCAGTAGGAAAGGAGGCAAAGGGCTGGGGGATGGGGTGCTAGAGCCTCAGACTCAAGAGCTGCCTCCTGCACCTAGAAGCTCTTCTGCTTTGTCACCTCTGCTCTCTAATATATGCATTTACGTACTGCACTTCTCGCCACTTCGCCTCCAGAGGACCGTGACAGTGGCAGACCTTAGGGCAGTGCTGACTTGACCACCATCCACTTTTAATGTGGGTTCCAGAAAAGGCTAGGGACTTAAGTTGGGCCCACCTAGGTGAGAGGCCAATCCAAATGGGACAGTGACCAAGTGTTGATTGGGGTAATGGTCGCTTCTCTGCTTTCACCATATTCTCCCTCCCCTCACACACCTACCTACAAGGTGGGAATATAACCTACAGTTCCTGAAGTGGTGGTGGCGGGGGAGGAGAGGAGCATTGCCAAGGAGAGGTGGAGGAAGGACTCACCTGGCTTTCTCACCCACTTTTGGCAGATGTGCGAAATGGTCAGGAGGTCAACTGCCTCACACCTGCAGCCCTATCTCCGGACCCTGCCAGGTTTGGAGCGCCCCTCATTTCTCTGGTACCATCAGATGCCATGGCACCCAGTACCCCTGGAGCCACCATCCCCTCCAGAACCCTGGGAGAATTTTCCCCATTGAGTATCTCTGCATCCTACAGAGTTGGATATGAAACGAGCAACTCTTTCGGGGTCTGTTCTCTGGAGGTGGGGGAGTAAGGTGATCAAAAGTGGTGGTGACTCAGAAACATTCTGGGAGCATGAGGTGGGCAGAGGATTAGAAATACGTGGGAGAATCATGTGTTGGCCCTGTAGTGGCTGCTTTTATAAAACAGGGGTGCTCTGAGCTCCCTGTGCAGGGCTGGGGTCCCTCCCAGCCCTGCCTCTCTGGCTGCCACAAACACCTTTTATCATCAACATCAGGTCAGGTCACCCTCTCTTCCTGAAATCTATCAACGACTCCTCTCTCAGAATTCTGAGCCTAGCTGCAGGGGACAGGCCTGGCATGGTCTGGCCCTGACCACCACACCCCTGTCTCCAGCTTTATCTTGCCCCCCTCCCCAGCTCAGCCAGCCAATCTGGTCCCTGTTAGTCCCTCTAATATACAGCGCTCCATAGCATTACAAGATCTTTGCACATGTCATTCCTTCTGCCAGGAGCGCGCTTCCCTCACATCCACCCCCCTTTAGCTGGTCAACACCTGCTCTGCCTTCAGAGCTCAGACAAAGCAACGCCTCCTCTGGGAGGCCTTCCCTGACTCCCTGTCCAAGTCAGGTTGCCACCCCCCTATTACCCTGCTATATGGCTGGCATCATCCTATAGACTTCTGCTACTGATCACCTAACATACTTGCAATTATACATTTATTTCCTTGAGTATTTCATTGTTTCCTCCTCTGGACTTGTGAGTTCCATGAGGACAAAAACGTGGATTAGCTCACTCAGCTATTTCATCAGCTCCTTGCATTGCAGGAGCTCAATAAATGTTGAATGAATGAGTGAGCCAATGAATGAGTGAATGAATGAATGAAGCACTCTCTCTGTGACTGAAGTTACCACGGATATGCTCTAGCCCATTTCCACTCTCTAGAAGCTACAGTCCATGTGCAAGGAGCTCCCTGGAGTTGTATAGTGTACAGCTGGCTCCCCTGCTCACAATGCTGCTTCATTTCCATTTCACAGTCACCTCAATGGTTGACCAGGTTGCTGGCATTGACTACAGTTTAGTAGGCGCTCCCCAGGTGACCTCTGAATGTCTGGACACGCTCTTGAAGGTAAGGGGCTGTGGGAAAAGGACCTTGGAGCTGAGGGCTGGTGGGAAACCAGCTTCACCTCCCAGAGTCAGCTCCTCCCTGCCCTCTCCAGTGAATCTGTCTATCAGTCCACATCCCTGACCAGTGCCCACAGTGGGAAGATGTGGTACTCAGCACTGCAGAGCAAAGCCTAAGACAAGTTCTCTGAACCGACACGGTAAACCTGTCAGGAGCCCAGAAGACCTGAGCTTGAATCCTGGCTCTATCACTTATGTGCTGGGGAACCTTGGGAGGATTACTTAACCTCTCTGAGCCTCTATTAAATTGGGAAAATAAAGATGCTATAGGAATTCAGTGAGATGTGTATAAGGTACTTAGCAAGTGCCTGGCACATAGCACATATATAGATAGGGTGGCACTGTTGTTACTACCTGCCTGCCCCCCATAGTAGGCTGAGGAATGGCTCTGAAATGTCCATGTTCTAACCTTCAAAATCTGTAAATGTTACCTTACATGGCACATGGGACTTTTCAGGTGTGATTCAATTTAGGGTCTTTCGATGACAAGACTGTCCTGGATTAATGGGCCTGTTGTAATCATTAGGACCCTTATAAAAGAGAGGCAGGAGATAAGGGAGGGAGGCAATGTGACAATGGAAGCAAGAAGTTGGAGGGAAGCAAGAGGTGATTCGAGGGAGGGACCACAAGCCAAGCAATGCAGATGGCCTCTAGAAGGTAGAAAGGACAAGGAAACAGATTTGCCCTTGAAGCCTCTAGAAGGAGCCCAGCCTTACCATCTTGAGTTTAGGCTTCTGACCTCCAGAAATGTAAGGCGATAAGTCTGTGTTATTTTAAGCTGTGAAGACTAAGGTAATTTGTTACAGCAGTAATCGGTAACTAGCTCACCCCGTCTTCATCCCTGTCTCTTCCACAACTCCCCTGTGGGTCGAGCCAGGTCCTGGAGTGCCATCCCCTCCAATTTTATTTAATTAACACTTATATGCTTCTTACTATGTACCAGATGCTGTTCTAAGTATTTCTTAGCTTCTTTAAATTTCATATCACCTGCATGAAGTAGACACTATTAGCATCATCCTCATTTTACAGCTGAGACAGCTGTAGTTGATGACTTGCCTGAGGTCCCAGAGCTAGTAAGTGGCGGACCTGGATTCAAACCCGTACACTCAATCTCCAGGGTCCACGCTTTTCACCCCTGGCTGTGCTTCCTCTTCTATGTGCTGAGCCTGGGAGAACACAGGACATACTCTCCGACCCAAAGGGGGATTTCAGGGAGCTGTCAAGACCTAGATGATGTGGGGCCAGAGGAACTCTTTCAGGACCTCTGGTCCCACATTCTGGAGAGGACCTGCCACCCTGACCACCACCCAGGACACAAGAGGTGCCCCCCAAGGCAGGCTTTGGATGCCTCTGCCTGACCCCCGCTCTGGCAGGAGCCTTGGGTAGCTGATATGTCCTTTTGTCTCCAGGGTGAATTCTTTGGCCTAAGCCAGCGCTCCCGGGTCCCCTTTGGTGCTCCGCCCATCAGGCTGCCCCAGATGCATGACCAAATGATCTACTTTGCAGTCTCCGAATATGCCTTCAACACAGCCAGCCAGGTTTACCACCAGGCTGGGCACATGAACTTCACCATCCGAAATGAGCACGTGAGTAGGAGATGGAGGAGGCTGGGGATCCCAGGGGAGAGCATCCAGTAGGACTGTAGACCTGCTGTGGGCGCGCTAGGGTGCTAGGGGAACAATGTGGAATCTGAAGCCTGCCCAACATGAGTTCAAAGTCAAGCTGTGCTTCACTTTCCCTGTCTGTGCATGTGGCTCCCCAGGGATTCCATGAGAGAGAGACGGTGAAGAGCAAGGAGTCTGACACACAGTACATATTAGCTACTGTTATCAGTACTTTAAAAAATCAGACAGACTCTGGTGTGTCATATCAGGTCCTCCGAGCAGCAGATCCCAAGCAGCCTTAGACTTGTAAGCATTATATTCGGGAAGCGCCTGTGAAGGGTACAGGAGAGAAGGAAGAGGTGTGAGAGCCCTCAGACTGCGATGCAGTCCTGAGACCTGTGAAGGGAGAGGGAAGGCAGACAGACTGGGTTAGGGGAGGTGCTGCTGCTGCGTGGTTCTGAGAAGTCTCAGCCAAGCTGATGGGGAGGCAAGAAAGAGCAATGCTTGCCCACTAGAGGGGTGCCACACACATACAGAGAGAAATGTGAGGAGTTGGCTCCAGGCTCAAGTCCTAAGTGTGATCTTTCAGACCTGACCATAGGCAAGTCCACAGGCTTTACCAGGCAGGCCTCTGCAGACCAGACGCGGAGCATGGCCAGTGCTTGGCAGTCTCTGGAGGGAGCTGCAGCCAAGGACTCAAGCCCCGCCCCCACCCCCACCCTGGGCTGGTGTATTAGCATTACTAGCCTAGACACCTCCGTTCAGAGGCCTCCTTATGAATGGAGGGAGAGGCGGAACCTTAGCTGGGACACTGTTCAGGTGCCTCTGCTGAGACCCCTTCCTGGGGGCCTAAAGACAGTTTTCTCCAGTCTGACTCGGTAGTCAGTACTTTTCTATTCCTGGCTCTTCCCCTTCTCCATCTCTTCTCTCTGGGTCCATAAACAGCAGAAGCCTTTTGTTCAGGGCTCTTCTTGCAATGAGATGACCAACTCCCCACCCCCACTCCACCCCCGCCCCATCGGCAGGGTACATCTGACCCTCACGGGTGTCATGCCACAGGGAAAAAAGGAAGACTGGGGGGCCCAGCGGCCTTTTCTGTTTAGTCTCTTGCTTACACTCTCGCCTCAAATCCTGGCAGTGATCTGGCAAAATTCTCCGTCTCTACTACCCCAGCAGTGCTCACCAGGGGCTGGGAGCTGTCTGTGAGAGTGTGGCCTCAGCATGATTTGTGTGGGGCCTGAATGTGAGGCAGTGGCAGGGGGGTGGAGGAAGGCCATCGGCCAGCTGCCCTCCTGTCCCTGGTCCCCTTGAAGGGAGGGGTGCGCTGTGCCCCTCCGCAGTCCACACTATGCTAACTGCTATAGGAGCCACCCAGGTAAAGAGTGGAGATCTTGAGGGAGGAGAGATCCAGGAAGGTGGCTGTGGACTGGTGTAGGCAGGGTCCCCCAGGCTGAAATATCAGCAGGTCATAAGGGTGGGTAGAGAATGACACCATGAGAGAGGGTGAGAAACAGCGCTGGAGGGAAGCCATATCTGGAAGCGCATGAAATCAGCCCCCACTGGCCCTTTAGGGGAGCGTCCTGAGAAATAATAAATAACAATAACATTTATCAAGGACTGTCTATGTTCCAGGCACTGCACTTAGTGCCTTGCCTATATATTATCTCTCATTTAATTTTTGCACACCCTGTGCAGCAAGTGCTAATATCATTCCCATTTTACAGATACAGAACCTAACAACGTTTGTCAACAATCAGTCAACGAGTGAATGGTGGACCCCAAGCTGTCCGACCTCAAAGTCCACACCTTTTACTACCATGATATCCTGCTTTTCAAGTAGCTTCTTGCTTACCCTCCTGCAGATCCCCCTTAACTCTCCAATTCACCTGCACACCAAATCGTTCGGGGTCATGATTCCTCAGGTAAGATCTCTGCCCACACATCATGGAGGACAAGGCAAGCCCCTTGACCTGGGCCAAATGTGGAGATTGTATTCGGACATCGATGAGCTGTGCATAGACTTTCTCCAGACAAACAGCTTACCAATTAGAACAGGGGGTAGAGATAAAAGTTATTAATGTTTTTGTACAAAATGCCCGTTTCTCTGACTCCTTGTGGCATAAAGACACAGCATCTGGATTCAGATTGCCTGTGTATGGGTCTGCTGTTTTGTATCTTTGGAACTCAATCTTGTTGGGCCTCAGTTTCCTCATTTGTCAAATAGGGACAACAATAGTACCTGCCCCTCTGATTGCAGAGAGGAACACATGGGCGATAACAATATTCAACCGGCGCAAATACAGAGGATCCTTCGATGGGACAATGGACGGCAGGCTAATAATCTGGGGCTAGGCAGATAATGGACATCTCCTTGACGTTTATGTAGCGCATAGCTGAAAAGTGGCAGGAGCAGAGTAGAGAACACTCGGCCCCCCCTTTCTTGAACCAGGCAATTCAGCTCAGCCCCAAACTTGCGCACAATCAACCCAAGCTGGCCAGCATACAAAGCAGTATGGTGACCATCCGTCATTATTAGAACATGCCCATTGGGGTGTCTCATCCATCCAAGACACTTTATCCAAGTGCCCTTTCCAATCACATCAGCCGTCTATTGGAAGGGAGTTCTGAAAAATACAATCGCTCCATCCTGTGATATTTCTACTGCTGGATTCCAGCCCTTAGAGATTTGAGCCTTGGGAATCCACCCTCTGGCTTTCCCCAGGACAGCTCAGGGTCCCTCTGTCTGTTTCCAGCGCTCTCCTGAGTCTCTGCCCTCTTTCTCCAGCTGGCCAGCTTGTACCCCAATATGGAGCTAGTGCTTGAGATGTCACCCGAATCAGCTCCATTCCTGATGTTCACCCCTGGAAATGTGACCCTCATGCCAGTGATGAACGTCCAGATCTGCGCCCTCCTGCCCGACTCCTCTGAGCTCAAACCACTCTTCCAGCTCAGGGTGGTAAGTGTGATCCTGGCTGGGGCAGCAAAGGGTCATGCTTGCCATGTGTGTAAGCTTCTATCTCAGCTGAAAGACAAGAGAGAGCACACAGCTGATAGATGCTAGAGGCTATTGGTTTCCCCTGGAGGCATAAGTGGGCCTTGCAATTCTGGTCTGACCAGCCAGGCTTCCGAGGACATCGTTAATCAAATCATACAATGTCAGAGTTGCAAGAAACCTTAGCAGTCATTTGCTCCAGCAGAGTTGAAGATTTTAGCTTTCTCATTGCTGTTTGTAACAAAAAGTTGTTTAAAGCATAACCCTATTTAAGTTGTTATAAATGAAAACAATCAAATTTCCTTTTTAACGTTTTTTAATTTTTAATTTTATTGGAGAATTGGGGGAGGGGAAAAGTAGTGGGGAGTTGGGGAAGGGGAACAGCCAAGTTGCTGTCCTTCCGTCTTAGTTGTGGAGGGCGCAGCTAGCTCAGCTCCAAGTCCAGTTGCACCGCTCAGCTCAAGGTGCAAGTTCAGTCTTAGCTGCAGGTGGGTGTAGCCATCATCCCATGCAGGAATCGAACCAGCAGCCTCGTTGTTAAGAGCGCACGCTCTATCCCCTGAGCCACCTGGGCGGCAGCTCAGCTCAAGGTGCCAAGTTCAGTCTTTAGTTGTAGGCGGGCATAGCCCACCATTTCGAACAGGCAACCTTGTTGTTAGGAGCACGTGCTCTCACCAGCTGAACCATCCTGCCACCTGTTGGTAGCTCAGTTCAGGCGCAGCTCACTGACCCATGTGGGAATCGAATTGCGACCCTGTTGCTCAGAGCTTGCACTCTTGAGCAAGCTCTTAACCAACTGAGCCACATGGCTTGCCCTCAAATTACCTTTCTAAAGAAGGTATAAAATTTAAAAAACTCTTAAAATAGCAATACTCTGCAAATTGATTTACAGATTCAGCATAACCCCTATCAATATCCCAGCTGGCCTTTTTGCCAGATAACAAGCTCTATCAAAAATTCATATGAAAAATAAAGTTGTATAACTCATACTTCTATTTTCAAAACTTATTATTAAGCTATAGCAATTAAGATAGTTTGGCACTGGTGCACGGATAGATATACCAATCAATGGAATAGAATTGAGAACCCAGAATTAATTCCTCATATTTATAGTCAATTGATTTTTGACAAGGGGACCAACACAATTAAATGTGAAGAACAGACTTTTAAGAAATGGTGCCTGGGCAAGTGTATATCCACATGCAAAAGAAACTGGACCCCTTCGTTATATCATACACAAAAATTAACTCCAAATGGATCATAGACCTACATGTGAGAGGTAAAACTATAAAACTCTTAGAAAAAAATATAGTAGTAAATTTTCATGACCTTGGTTTATGCAAAGCCTTCTTAGCTCAACTCAAAAGCACCAGCAACAAAGTGAAAAATAGGTCAATTGGACTTCATTAGAATTAACTTTAGAATTAACTTTTGTGCTTCAAAGGACATCACCATTCGAGAAAGTGCAAAAAGAACCCACAGAATGGGAGAAACATTTGCAAATCATGTAACTGACAAGGACCCTCTGAACTTCCCTTGGTAGCCTGCTTCAAAGCACAGACATGCTTATAGGTGCACAGTCTCCCAATTTGAATACCCTGTGTCTTTAATTTGGGCTTCTTCCTTCTTCTTGATGCTTCCATTACAATGGACCTCCGAAATTATCAGCTCACCTTTCTTAAAGTCAGCTGTGGAGCCACCAACATCTTGCATCCTCAGTCCATAATCCTTGAGTAGCTTCTTTCTGTCCATATGTCCCACATCTGGCTGTGGTTTCTATTTCTGGAGATTTGTCTCCTGGGAGCCAACAGGATGCGATGTGGTCTGAGAGTCTGCGTGATCCCCTTTTGCTTTTCTAGAGAACCAATGTCTCCGCCACCATCAATGTGAGCTCCAGTAGGATCAGTGGTTCATTGACTCCAGGAAGGTAAGAGCCCATGGGTGGGTTTGGAGGAGAGGGAGTGGGGTGGGTGGTCAGAGCATCCAGTCTGGTTCACCGATAGGGCTGAGGCTGCCCCTTGGAAACAGAGGTCTCCACTGGGGCTGGTTCATTCTCTGATCCCATGTCCTTCTGGAAAAGGCATATTGACAGAGCCGCAGGGGAAAAGCCAGAAGCCAAGAAAAGTTGTCTAGGTAGCAGAGGTTACCTTGAAGTCCCCTGTCACTTTGGGCTCCTCATTTGAGCCGAAACTTCTGCAAAGAGGGTACTTAGGAACCACAGTCTAGCTGGAGAAGGTAGGATGTGAAGCTGTGTTTGCAAGGATTTTACGTATCAGATTGAGAAAAACTGTCAATATTACTTCCATATCAAAAAGTGGAGATTTTGGATGGAGGATTAAAGGTGCCCCCAAGCCACTGCTTACTGCTCCACTGCCCAGACACCCAATCAATAGGCAGGTATTTATTTAACCAGTTAGTCAGTGGAGAGAGTTCGGGCTTTGGGCAGCGGGGACTATACCGCCTCTTGGGGCTGGGCCTTGCCCTAGTGGTGTCCTCTGTCCAGAGGCCTCACCTGTGCCCCACGTCTCACCCACTCTGGGTGCTGCTCCCCGAGAGGTACAGGTGCAAAGGGTTCGTCAGAGGAATGAATTCCAGGCCTCAGGGTCAGAGGCCTATTGGCTGATAGAATGCCCTGGCTCCATTAAAATAAACATCTCTGAAAGATGTCTTTAAAAAGAGACACTAATGCTGAGCATGTGGGGCTTTGGGAAGTCCTGGAATGTGAGTTTATGCATAGATCTGGACGGGGGGGTCTCTGCGATATCAGGGAGGACAGACAAGGGCTGAGACAATGAGGAGACAGCAAAGTGAGAAGGATTTGAGAGGAACTCAGGCAAGATTTTACCAAGGAATGCTTACAAGTACTCTATCCCATGAGCAGAAAGCAGAGTTCTGTCCACGGCAATCAGGATCCCTGAATGAGGGAACCAGGCCCGCAGCCCAAAGGAAAGCCTGCTAGAAGCGTCAACGGGGGTGGGGGGAGGGGAATAAGGTTCCGCTTTTATGGTGACAATCCAGGTGGCCTGAGTCGCTCTGCCTTCCTTCACTCCAGCGGCTGCCAGCTGCCTGCCAGCATCATTTGTGGTGCCTCTTTTCCATTTTTATTGTCTATTCCCATATTATACAAATAATCCATGCTCACAGCAAGAAAGAAAATGGGAATTAGGAAAGTATTAAAAAAACAAACAAACAAAATCATCCATAACCTTGCCCCATTGAGACTCTCACTCAATAGTTTCATGTTTTCTTCCGGTTTTTAAAAAATATTTCTATGTAATTGGAGGCATACAGTGCATTACTTTTTATAGTCCATGTTCTCCAGTTAATATTTATACCATCATAATTTCTTCAAGTTATCAAAGATGCTCAGATAAGTTTTTCAACATGTCACTTCTTAAATCACAGTGCATGCTTAAAGGCTTAAATGCACAAGAACCACATTGCACAGGAACCCTTGGGAGCCCAGCCCCTGAAACACCCTTGCCCGTAAGCAGTGCACACCCCACTGGGGTAATGCGCAAAAATACCAGGCGTGGTCTGGGCTGACCATGCTTCTCTCTTCTCTACGCAGTAAGCTGAAATTGGAACTGATACGCTCCAACATCGGTTTCTTCAGTGTGAGTTGCTTTCTGCTTCTTGATGTTTTCTCCAAGCAGGGCTTCATGGGGCTCCAGGAGAAGCGACAAGGTTCCAGATAGAGATGCACTGCAGGCTCGCAGGAAATGGGACATCACGCCTGAAAGTTAACCCTCCAAGAAGGGCACTGCCTGAGGGCTATATAATGGTCGACAGGACATGGATTAGGAGCATGAGCTTTGCAGGAAGATAGACCTGGATTCTTATACCAGCTCTGCCACTTGCTGTGTGACCTTGGGCAAATCACTTAATCTTTCTGAACCTGTTTCCTTGGCTAAAAAGGAATAGCATCTACATCAAATGGGGGCTGTAATATGAAGTGAGGCAATGAATTAAGACACTTTGACAAAATGTCACATAGTAAGCTCTCAATATATGTTCATTAGTAGAGTAATAGAGGCCCAGGTGCACAATTCCTTATCCAAAGCCCTTAGGACTGATGGGTTTCAGAATTGAGAATTTTTGAGGTAATACGAGGCATGCACCATGTGTTATACTTTCAGCAGGATCTGGGGCAGCACTGTATAATCCAACACATTTTTTCACAACAAAATTTTAAAATATTCACACAAAGTGGAATAAAGGAAAGCTAAATAGCACCATGATAGTTCAGGTCATGTTTTGCCATAAAATGAGCTTGCGTGCATTTAGGGAGAAAGAACTTCAGAGATCGCGGGTTTGGAGGGATTGTGAACCCGTCTTGTAGATGGGATGACATATCGATGTTACCAGAGGTGGGACAGATGTTCTTTCCTTGGACTCCTGTTTTTATTCATGTCCTATCTGATCCCTTTGCTCTGGCCCCTCCTCTGCTCCAGGTAAATTTGATGGAATCCGTCTTCAATTACTACGCAACCTACCTGGTATACCCCTCTATCAACGGTAAGAATAGCTGCTACTGACTGCCCCATGCAAAGGTTGAGTTCTATCCTTTCCGTAGGATTCAACAAGTCGGACCTCTCTCCATGCTGGCTGAGGTGCTGGCAACCATGATCCTTGCCTTCATGGAAGAGTTCACGCTTTGTTGGGAAGGCAGACCTGTACGTTTTATTAATGCCACAATAGGAGGTACAGAGGACTGCTAGGAGGAACTGAACTTGACTTAGAGGTCAGTCCAAGAAGTGAAGGCTGAGTCCCAAAGCACAAGGAGTTAGGCTCAGGGAGAAGGATTCCAGGTGGCAGGGTGGAGAACACCTGGAGCCAGCACACCTGAGTTCTGAGCCAGGTAGGGTCACTGAAGTGCTGGTGACCTTGATGGAAGTAGGACTTGGGACAGTACTGCCAGAGAAGCCAGCAGACACCCTCCCAGTCCCGGCCCTCTCCAGCTGGCCTCACTATCTGCCTTTTACAACCAAGAGATAAGAGCAGCCAAACTGGCCTGGAAGAGAGACCGTGAGGGAGATGGTGGTCCTCAGGGATGACCCTGGATACACATATAAACAGTGCATGGCTCAGCCCGTCCACTTTGGGTGGTGGTTGAGGGAAGGCTTTTGAAAGGCCTAACAGAAGCTCAAGCGGCTGTCTGCTCCTGAAGACACGTTTCCAAAGCATTTGTCTCTATGCATCCCGCCTCCCCGCACCAAGATAAACCCATCCCTGAATCCAACAGCCTACTGGTTTTAGTGGCCCACTCTCATTGGCCAGCAGCAAATGCAATGTTTGTCTTCACACCTCCCCAGTCTTTTCCGTCCAGCCCACCTCTCTCTGTTTACCTTCCAGCAAAGCTGAAGGAGGGCTTCCCACTCCCTCTGCTAAAGGACATCTACATCAGCAGCATCAAGTTCCAAATCTACGAGGTCAGTGAGAAGTGGGGTCTGGGCGGGGAGCTCGAAGACCTCCTGGAAGGCCTACTTCAGGGTTGCCCCTAACTCCCACTTACATCCTGGACCTGATTTTCCTAGAAAATAATATTTTTTTGAATTTTGGTATATAAATGGTAGGTTTTGATTATCTGGACTCTTGGCTTCCTGTAGAATAGGTGTTCTCAGTAATTCAGGTCACATATGTTCATTGAGTAGCTACAACGTGCCAGGCCCTTTAGCCACGTACAGCAGGAGAGTGTGCCACGGGGTCAGACTAGCACCACTTCTGGGTTGCAGGGCCACCTGGACAAGCCCAGAATCCCCCTGATGGTGTGAGTCTCCACTGGGCCACTGGCAAGCCTTCCCACCCACAGTAGCAAGGGATGGTCTTGGAGAAAAAGTGACCTTGTAGTGGAAAAGCCTTACCAGGGGCAGGGGACAGGGACAATGACAGTACACTTTATGATATAACCCAGAAGTACTAGTTTGCACTGCTTTGATGTTCATAATAGGCTCTGACTCCAAGATCATCTGGGACTCCATTCTCAGACATGAAAACTCAGGCAGCATCCTAGGAGAAAAAAATTTTGGAGGAAAGGGACCTTCGTGGATGCCTTCCAGAAATTAGCTCAGGAAGTGCAAATAATTTCCAGGGGGCAGACAGCTGATAAGGACAGTGTTTTATAAAGGCCTCCTTTTATAAAAGCTTACGAGCTTGGTTTTTGCACTGACCTCGTTCTTCATTCGAGTTAAGAGCTTGCTTCTCCTTTCAAAGGACTCCCTTTCAAGAAGCTCGTATGCAGCCCAGGCAATGAGCTTTCTTTCTTGTCTGCCCTTTTTGCCGTCTCTCCAGAACTTCTTGCTCTTGGGGGCCAAAATTGAAGACTGAGGAGGAGCAGCAACTGTGGCTGGAGGAGTGGCTGGCACCACACCTGGACTTCCCCTGCCCTGTGGCGCCCCAGGGGCTCTGCCCATCATCCTCTCTCCCATGACACTAACCACCAGGGCGCCTGACAGCTGACGACACGCCTGATCACGGCCCACCCTCTCCACCCTCATCCTACACCCCGCACTGCTCCTCCCCACATCCCTGTTCCCTGTGCAGCTGCCCCGAGCCTTACTCTGGGGAGCTTAACCCCAACTCCCTACCTGTCTGTTGCTAGAATACAGAATAAACTTTGGTGAAGGAAAAAAAGCACGAGCAGTGTCGTTACCACGTAGCCCAAAGCACCCGCTCAACGTTAAACACGTAGAACAACTTAGCTGGACGTGTCATTTGATGTCATGGTTAAGGGAACAAGTCAGACAGAAGTGAGCTCAAAAGTCTTATTTTGCCACTTCCTTGGTTGTGTATTTATTGAGATGGGACAAACAAAAGCTGAGGGGATTTACCACAAGACCTGCATTAAAGAAATGTTGAAAGGAGCTCTTCTACCTGAAACAAAAAGACAAACGCGTACAAAACTGAGTAAAATGACAAACATTATATACTTATCAATGATCCCCTTGAAGGCACAAACTGTCTTATTCACCATCGTACCCCTATTTTTTGCCTGGTGTCTGGCTCATACATAGCTTCATTTTTTTTTAAGTTTTTATTGGGGGAATTGTCCTAATTCCCCCTTCAATCTTAGTTGTGGACGGCGCTCAGCTCCAAGTCCAGTCGCTATCCAGCCACCTGTCGGCAGCTCGTGGCCGCTCAGCTCAAAGTGCCATGTTCAATCTTAGTTGCGGGTGGGCATAGCCCATCCCATGCGGGAGTCAAACCAGCAACCTTGTTGTTAGGAGCACGTGCTCTCACCAGCTGAGCCATCCTGCCTGCCATCTGTTGGCAGCTTAGTGGCATCTCAGCTCGGGCGCAGCTCACTGGACTACACGGGAATCAAACCAGCGACCCTGTTGCCCAGAGCTCGCGCTCTTAACCAAGTGAGCCACTCAGCCATCCCATCTTCATTTTTTTTTTTTTAATGAATGAACTTTCAATCTGTCCATGTCTCCATTCTCCTGGCTCTCAATGTTGCTATGGAAGCTCCCACCAGCTGCTCCACCGCACCTTCTGGTACCCAGCAGTTCCCAGGCAAGGACCACGCTTCCATCTTCATCCTGGTTCCTGGGTCACCTTGGTTGTCATGCTCCTCTAGGATTTCCTCAGGTCCTGAAGGCCTGGGGTGGCTCCTGTTTCACATACTGCAGTGGAACGAGGCGGGAATGACAATGACGTGGTGTCTGGTCAGAGGTGCCTGGTGTCTCCAGGCAGACTTAAGGACCGGCCCACATTTCTGCTGCTGCCACACCACAGCAACTGGCATTAACCACCATCGCCAACTTTCTCAGGTGGACCCGACTCCTTCTCTTGGCGTCGTTGCAGGCAGCGACGACCAGCTGATTGAAGGTGGCAACAGAAGTCAGAGGATGGTCCTCGGGTAGGTCTTACAGAGAAGGGCAAGGCAGAAAAAGGACCTTCGACTTCTGGAAGCCTCTGCCAGGAACTGGCTGGCGGAGCACATTTCACCCACGAAGAATGCTGGCCCCTGCAGTGGAGACCATTACGGTGTCCGGCTCGCCAAGGCAGGCTTGACAGCCGGGACTCGGCCTCCCTCAGCCCAGCCAAGGGGGTTTCAATTTCAGATGCAGAGGCTGGTCAATTCCCTCCAGCCTTTCACCATGGCCTTTGGGACCTAGTTTCTCCTGTAGACCCCCTGTATCTGTAAAATGGGATTAGAAAGCTCACGCATGCCCGTCCTGAGCACAGCCATCATCACATTGTCGCAGTTACTGATTTCACCCCAATGATCTCCAAAAAGCCTGACCTTGAGGACACCCCCCAACATCCACCAATGGCAGCTGCTCCACGTTCACCCTGCTCCCACCTTTACTCGGTCACCTGTCTTCTCAAGTTGACATCATGTAATTTATACCCCAGATAAGTTGACCGACTCATCCCAGTTTGCCTGGGACTATCCCGGTTTTAGCAATGCAAGTCCCACGTCCCAGGAAACCCCTCAATCCCAGGTGAACTAGGACCCAGAACGCCAGGCCACCCCAGCCTTCTCAATGACATCAGCACCTGTCTCATGCCAGTCCACCCTGTCACCAGCCCCCCTTCCAAAGCCTTGGCCTGACTGTTCTTTAGCACCCTCAACTTCAATGGGTCCTACCTCTGAGCCTCTCCCATCACCTGTTCACCTCCTAGTCCTCACTGAACACTTCCAACAACAGCCCATGTGCCAAACCTTAGGGGCGTGACAGGAAAGGCTCGAGCACTGAAAACAACGTCTGGCCTGTGACCCACTTTCTCCATGCCTAGGCCTGCTGGCACATGGCTTGATACTGGCTTCAAAGGCAGAAGGAGCAAGTTTGTAAGGTTTATTGAATGGGTAGGTGGACAGGAAAGTGAAGAGCAGCTACAGATTCAGAGAAAAACTCTTGGTTACTCAAGTCATTCCAAGCATGGAAGAGAGACGCGGGGCTGGCCCCCCCGTCATGGCCCTGTAAGGGTGCTGTTTGTTGTCATGACTCAGAGCCAGCTGAAGTGGACCCCAACCCCCAGTCCCAGCGCTTTTCCTCTGATCTCTTTGTGCAGCGTGAACAGTCGTTCCATGATGCTCTGAGCAGGCAGCAGGGAGGAGCTGTGGTGAGGCTGCATTTGGGGACCACGTCTCCATTCTTTGCCCCTCTGGTGTCCACGAACAATACCAAGAGAATCTAAAAGAAAGGACAGGTGAGAGCAATGGTTTGGAGTTCCCGTCTGCGGACAGCTTATCCTCTGGCTGTGGGTTCCCAGCCCTTAGCGTTAACTCACCTTGGTGAAAAATATCCACAGCAAACCCAGGTGCCAAGTTATCCTGAGGGTCACTGATTCATAACCTGGGGGCTTCCTTCAGCAGTCTCCGATCCAAGGCTGCCCTAGGAGGGAGAGGAAGCATACAAGCATTCAGTCTCCAGCACTGCTCCTCAAGTGACTTCACTGAGAGGGTCCCCATCAACCAGGCCCAAGCTCTCATTTTATGCACACTGAACTAAATTATCACCAGAACAGAAAGGGCAATAAAGGAAAAAACATCTTAAAAGCCCAGTTTTTAAAATAAATTATTTTCTTTCAAGCAGTTCACAATCAGGGCAATTGACCAGATAAGAGTAATCCACAGGAAAACAGCCCAGCGCTCACTGTCAGAGGCTTTGACACTGAGGTCCTGCTGCATCTTGAACAAAGGGATGGACCACCATCCTCAGCAGCTCTCACATCAAGTTGTCATTACTTGTCTGTCCAGCCTGTCACAAGGCCCCAGCAGCTGTCATCCTATTCTGCAAAGATCCACTTAGTATGACTCTGCCAAGAAAGGCAAATGGAAGATCAACTCCCAGCAAGACTTGTTAGGTGCCGAGATCTTTGAAGGTCAAGACTGCCAGGCCCATTTAAAGGATAAATGAGAAAACCACCTCAAAGCTTGAAGACATTACGTAAGTGAATTTCAAGTCAATCCATAGGACTCTCCACCCAGAGGTTTGATTTACCAAACTTGGGAGGCAAATCGCTTGAGAGGGCGATAAACTCTCTTTTCCAAATGGTCACCACTGTCCACTAAATCCTCCAGGCTGGCCGAGGAGCCCCAAGCCCAGGAGCTAGGCTGTGGGCCTGTGCTGCAAAACGGGCAGAGGGCAGGTCTGAAAGACAAGGGAAACCTCAGGTTTATTAGATGGCTGCCTGTACCAAGTGGCTCACATATGTTATTCTCACCACCTTCACATCATCATGAGGTGGGAACAAAAATAGCACCCAAAACAGGATCCCATCCTCAAAGACGAGAGACCTGACTGTCAACGGAAGAGAACTGGGGAGCCAGACAAGAGCCCTCAAACCAAAAGTGGGGATCAATGGGATGGGTACCCTGACCACCTCAGCCAAGACGAGCTTCTCAGGGCTCCATGTTGCATCTTCTAAGCCTACAAAGTGAAGGCACCATCGCAGGTGTCTGCCTCCCACAGGACACACCTGCAGAGCAAAGGCAGGTCAGCTCATCTGCTGATGGCAAACTACATGTCTGGGTGCCCAGTCAGCAGCACAGTAGTCTCACATGAACCAGGACGCAGGCTACGGAGTCCTGAGTCTACAAATACAGATTTCAGAGATCCACAGACCTGAGAATTTCTCTAGTCGACCCCTGGGGTCACCCTTTTCAAGAGAGAACCCACAAAGGCACAAATTAAAAGTCAGCAAAAGGAGAGTGATCAGTCAATATGCCCTTCTCTCCTCCGTGACTGACAAGAACACTCCTCAATCTTCTGGACTGTGACAAATGAAAACTTTATTGATTTGGAATTGACAGAACCTCTCTTTGCCCCTACATCTGGCCCCCACCTTTATTTTTTTCTTTCTCCATTTATTTGACATTACTGACGGCTCCTAGAGAAGCAATACATGCTGTGCTCGAGAAAGAGTAAAGGAGTGAACACAACACACAAGTGAGCATTTAAGTCACGGCTGTCTTGGAGAGTGTATTATTATGAATGGTCCTCCAATCCTATAAGTTCGTAAAGCAGAACCCACGATTTACAATCCTCACCCATGCCTTTCGGCACCATCTGACTCACTCTAGTGTGAGGTCCAAATATAAATGTATGGACTGGTTTCTGACCCAAGGATCATTAACTTGAAAAGACAAAGTGAACCCCACAAATCAGGGGGTTGGCAGTCACCATATCACATGGGGGCCAGAAAGGCCCAAGCTCTGAAGGGAACGGTGGGGAAAAGAGCTAGTGTGTGAAAGCTCCAGTGTTTGGAAGGGATGGCTGGACCCTTCCAACACAGGGAAAACTCCTTTCAGTGATTCCTTTCCCTGCACTATCAATGACCAGGACACAGGCAGCCCATGATCACTTTCGGATGCAGGAGAAGAAAGGGACAGAAAGACAGCCGGGAAGAACGGGAGGCTGGTGCCAGGGGCCTGAGGAACGAGGAATCGCCTGAGTCGGCGAGAGCAGCTGAGCCAAGCAGAGCCCTAGCTTCTGTTGTGTCCTGCAAAGATCCCATAAAACCTCTGAGCCAGAGAGTCAAGACACTTCCAGGATGAAAAACTGGAAATGCTTTTAGGCTGGACGAGGTCAGGATCGTGTGGTCATGACACCACCATGAAAAAAAATTTTCTAACCTCTGCTATCCCACCTTTGCTTTTCAGATGAACAAGTAGAGGTTGAGAATAAGTCACAGAGCCAGACAGGTTTCGATGTGGGACCAGAGTCTCCGCTGTCTAAATCTCCATGCTTTCCATCACAGCCCCTGGGAGCCCTTTACCTAAGCAGGTTTCTATAGGTCCTTCCCCTGTGAGGGACTGCCCCTCAGCAGGGACTCAACTGGGAACTCATGGGATGCCACTTTTACCTCCACTCCCCTTACATTATCACCCAAGCCCCAGGGATCATGCACAGTGACTTTACAGAAGCGAAATAACAAAATTCTAGAAAATGATCTGAAAACCCTTATCTCAGGGCCCCATGGTCCAGCGCCCAGCTGATATGAAGACTGACATGAAGATGACTGATGACTCCCATGGCACCTCTGCATGCACAGACCCCTCTGTAAGAGACAAGTCATGAACGGGTACTCGCAGAAGGCCCTGGGGCACAGAGCACTTGGCAGTGGCTGGCAGATTACAGCACCCACAAACGCAGGATGTTACTGAACTGCCACACTGCTGTCTCGGCAACAAGAACAAATGAACTCTAGGAAGGGGTCCGCAGATCATCTGTGATCAGGAGTAGCAGCTGTGTTAGCCTATGTGCCAACTGTGATGAATACGTTGCTAAGCAGTCTATGTTAAAATTGGCGAGGCCAGGGTGCCATGGCTGACTGGCAGCGACTGGCAGGAGCCGGGAGGGGTGCTGGGTGGTGGGAAGGCCCCATGTCTACATCGAGTGTAAGAGCTGCTTACATACATATTCTCAACTACACTGTGCTCGCCCCAGCTCGATTACTAGTATGTACCCTTAATCTAAGGGCAGAGGGAAAACCACCCCTGGGGGACCATGGGCCCTGCTCATGCCAGGACTAAAGGCAGCCCATAAAAAGTGACCTTTCAATAGAGAAACAGCACTTCCAGTGGGAGAAGATCAGGGAATGCCTCGGCCTGGGGCAGGGTGGCTTGCTCAAGGTAGAGATGAGCCCTACCACCTGACAACATCGTCTCCACGTCTCTACCTCCTCATTTTGTTTGTTTTTGTCCAGGTGCCACATGTCAGGCCCCGGGTAGAGGCAATGCCCTCAAGATCACAGATTGGGGGCCTGATAAAGCAAATCAACAATTTCCAGGTGTGAATAGCGCTGAGAGGTGAGGATGAGGAGGTGGGAAGGGCTGTGATGGATTGGGGTTGGGGGCGTGGGGCAGAGAAAGCTTCCAGGAGGGGAGCCCTAGGAGGAGAGTGACCAGCCCAGAAGCATAAACTCCCTCTGGCAGGGCCCTGATCAGCAAAGGGGGCTCTCGATGAGCCAGGGCACCAGGTACCAGGAAGTAACACAAACTGGTGGGAAGACGTGTACGAAAGCTCCAGGGTTTGGAAGGGACAGGATGGGCCCTCCAAACACGGGGAAATGCTTTCAGCAATTGCTCTCCCTGCACTATCAATGACCAGGGCACGGGCAGCCCACAATCACTTTCGAATGCAGGTGCAGAAAAAGGCAGTTAGTGAGCTGAGGCGGGAGGCCCTTGCCAGCAGCCTGAGAAATGGCCTGAACTGGGAACAGACCAGCAGACAGGTCAACGACCAGATTTACAACCTAAAATTACAGAAGCCACATCTGATTTGCAGAGATTATTTACCAGTCCCTGCAAGAGTTGAAGGGAAGACTAACAGCAGATATGTTGAGAATCCTTGTGCTCTGAAAGACTGGGTGTGAGTGGTACCAATACTGAGCATTGGACAGGACTCACTCAGGCTCATAGAAGACCGCTCAGCTGGTTGCCGGTTATGAATCTGGATTTGACTCTAAAATGCAGTCCTCTGTCCATGCTAACACACTGCTGTTTTCCTCTCCGCATCACAGCAGCCTTGGCCTGCACTCTCTCGCCTCACACCTCATCACCTCTGGCCTTGCAGCCTGCACAGAGCTTGAGCTCAAGAGAAACAGACAGGACACCACTTACCTGGGACCTCATAATTCAGGTTCTCCCTGAGGACACCTCTTAGACACGGAACAGCAGTCACATGACACTCCTGCAGAGGATAAGAAGCCACTTGATTGGCCACTTGGCACTGCTTACAACTTGTCTAGAAAACCATCTTGCTCATCAACAGAAAGCCACTTGGGGAATCCGGGTCTTAGTATATGAATGCACTGCCAGCCTGTCTCCCTGGATCTTCAGTCTATCTCATTCTCAGTCACTGCCACCGTCACCTAAGCCTGTCCTGTTTGGAAGGAATAAGCATGGATCCTCCGAAGGCGAGGAAAACCTTGCAAGTTTTCCTTTGCCTGCGTTGCCAGAACACAGGCAGCCTGTCAACGCTTCAAACACAGGGATGGAAAAGAACACAAGGCTGCTGAAATGCGAGACCAGTGTCAAGAGACCACAGCTGTGGCTCTAGGACCAGTCCCTACATTCCCTGAGGCAGGACCCACTCTCCTTCTCCTCTATGAAAGCTTCACAGATCCCAGCACTGAGCCAGGCAGAGAGCGCACTCAGTTAACACGACACCAGGGGCCAGGAGGCATCTGAAAGGTGGTGGGAAGCTCCAGGAGGTGTGGCAAAGCTCCAGGGTTTGGAAGGGACAGGGGTGGACCCTCCAAACATGGGGAAATGCTTTCAGCAACTGCTCTCCCTGCACTATCAATGACCAGGGCACGGGCAGCCCACAATCACTTTCGAATGCAGGGGCAAAAAATGGCAGGTGAGCCAGGAAGAAAAGCCCAGGTTAGCCCACTATCTGCCCAAGCAGGAGAAAGCTGCCAAGCCAAGCCCAGGACCCAAGCACTATCATCACTTTATATAGGTTCTACCGCCACTCAACAAGAGAGCCCACAGGAAGACCCATTTTTGCTAAAAATGCCTACATTTTTTTTTTTTTTTTTTTTTAGCTGAGCCATCCCGCCACCTGTTGGCAGCTCCGCGGCTGCTCAGCTCGGGCTGACTCGAACCACTGTTGCTCAGAGCTCAAACTCTTGAGTGAGCTCTTAACCAACTGAGCCACTCAGCCGGCCCCCTACATTTTCTCATTTACCCTACAAATATGTACCAAGTACCTACTATGTGCCCGGCATTGTGGGTTCAAAAATAATGAAAAACACAGACAAGGCCTCTGTTCCCCCAGAGCTCTTCCAGTCCCCCCACCTGAAGGAAAGTAAAGACAGGAGAATGAAGAAACTGACCCAAGGTTACAGCGCTAAGGAGAGGCTGAGTCAGGACCTGAAACTCAGGCCTTTCTGGCCCCCAAGCCCAGCCCCATCTACATCACCAGGCTTCCTGCACAGGGCTTTGCAAGACAGCTCTCAGGGCCCGCCGGAGCTCCAGGTGGGGCAGAAAGGCAATGAGCTCCAAATCGAAGGTGCCCAAGAGCAGCAGCACTCACCCAGGGCCCCTGGATACAGTGGGGGCGCATCGCACAGTGCAGATCAGGGTCCAGCAGGAGAAAAGGGCGCTGGCTCAGGCAGAGCCCCCAAAGCCATCCAAGGGACAGTTGTCCTGTCTGCCAGGAGCCACACAGTCGCAAGGCCTAGGCAGGGAAGAGCACGGGGGAGGGGCATTAGTGCAGAGCAGGGCGACAGGAATCCAGACTCCAGGGCCCTGCAAGCGTCCTTTAATTTAAAGCTGTCAACATGTCTGTAAATGGAGGTTTCAACACTTTCCTTCAAAATCTATTATGGAGAAAGAATTATGGTAATAAGGACACTTTGTAGGCAACAAACCGGTGGCTTTGAGCATCAAATGACAGGAGTCACACGTGGTGGGGGCAGTGCATATCAGGGGGGCTCTGGCTCCCTTTAGGCCCGGGGTCACACGCGGCTCTGCACGACTCGCTGCGGGACGTCGGGCCCACGTGTTGCCGGATCCGCTTCTGGCCGTTAGTGGGCACAAAGCTTCCCCACGGGGTGGGTGAGGACGGGGCTCCGACGCCCTTACCCACCCACTTAGAAGCAGCATCGGTTGACCTGAGGCTCTTTTCTCGAGGGCACGAATCCCGAGGTCCACGCCCGGTGGAGGGGGCGGGCACAAAACCCGGGGCCGGGCCTGGGGTCCGAGCTGATCTCCGGCCGGCTCTCCTAGCACCCTGGGCCTCAGTTTCCCCTTATTGGGGAGGCACAGACCACGTGCCCAGTGCTCCCTGCAGTGGACTCACCTGGGCGCAGCAACCGATGGTGCGGGACAGCAGCGGAGACAAGAGCCGATCTGGCGGGAAGGTGTGGCTACCTGGGGATGTCAGGAGATGACGTGCAACGACTACCAACGGCGACGACACGACCAAGATACTTGAACAGCTCACGGCCGGCGGAAAGGTGGCTCCGGCGCAGGCTGCGGCCTAGAGAGGTGTCTCCTCGGGCGGAACCCGCTCAAGTGGTCCTGCCGCGCCCCCTCGTGGAGCGGAGTTGAAATGACTCAGGAGGGCTTGGGATAATTTCCCTGGAATTATGGAAATAAAATCCCCCTACTTGTTTTGCTTTTCTGTGTGTTCTGACGGTGCTCCTTGGTCACTGAGGTGTCATTTATCTGTAGAAATGATCACTCTTTCACGTGAGGAGCTCTTATTAGCAGGAGCTTGGCCTTGATTGTTTTTAGTTTGGACAATAGCGATCTGTCTGATTAACCATTGTATTCATAGTATCTAGTTTAGTAGCTGACACCGTTAAACAAATGAATACATTCTGCCCATTTATGTATTTGGGCATCGCCGGTTTAAAATATTTTTCCGATGGCCTGAGACTGGAACGTGAGAGTGACAAGGAGATGAGACTAGAGAGGTGAGCAGGTGGTTTGTTGAACCTCATCCTAAAATTAAATGGGATGAGAGCGTGGAGAGAGTCCTTGAAGCAGAAGGGATTTGATCAGATATGCATGTGAGGGGCCTTATCAAATATGCATAAGTGGCAGAGAAGAGGGAAATCCTGTGCTCCCAACATCACTTTAGAGACAGGCTTGAGAGGGGACTCATGGCCCCCACATCTCACAAGCAATAACACTGCCTGCATCCTGGGCCAGGTGTACCTCTTGGAACCCGGAGCAGCCCTGCCACTAACTCAGCCCACATTCTGAAGTGTAAAGAGCCCACCCTTGAGCCTGGGGATGGGGGGTAGTCTCTCAGTCAGAATCCTTGTGCTCACTAGGTCAGCACAACGTGGAAATCCAGGCCTGATGGACGAACCAAGGGATAAATGGGGGTCTCTGAGGGTGAGAACACTCCAGATCCTGTGTTTTGGGAGGACCTGGTATGATTTGAAGACTGAGAATGTTGGGGGTCTCTGTGGTGGGGAGAGTCCATGGCATGGTGTGGCTGTGAAGATGCTGGACAAAGGGGTCGGATGTGCACACTTGTGTCCGCTCATGATGTCTGCTCTTGCCCTTCCTGTCTGTGAGACTTTGGCTAAGTGACCTAACTTCTCTGCCCAGCCTCAGTTTTCCTTTTCTGAAAAATGGACAAAGCCAGCGCTCCCCCCTCATAGCATTGCTGTGAGAATTAAACGAAATGATTCGTAACAAGAGTGTAGCACAGAACAAATGGCCAAAGCATGGTAGTGGCTATCTATACTTTAGTAATAATGAGCAAGCTGAAGGTTTCTGTCACTGTGAGAACACTGGGATTATTTATGAGGCAGAGAGTGTGCTGTGTTTGAAAAGTCCAAGGCAGCATTGTCCAGTAGAAATATGATGCCAGAACCATCCACAACGTCAAGCCAAACTGGACCCGCAGCCACCATGAACAACAGCAACGGTCAATATCCAATGCAGCCAACCTACCTTTTGCAGCCTCCTGGGAATCCAGGGTACCCTCAGACCTTGCATCTTCCTCAGGCTCCATCCTATACTGATGCTCCACCTGCCTGCTCAGAGCTCTATCATCCCAGCTTTGTGCACCCAGGGGCTACCACAGTCCCACCATGTCAGCTGCATTTCCTGGTGTCTCACTGTACCTTCCCATGGCCCAATCTGTGGGTGTTGGACCTTTAGGTTCCACAGTCCTCATGGTTTATTATCTAGTTGATCCCATCTACCCACCTGGCTCAACAGTGCTGGTGGAGAAAGGTATAATGCAGGTGCCAGGTTTGGAGCTTGGGCTACTGCTGACAACATTCTTCTCCAGCATTAGGATGCCCTCCCCATGCTGCTCAGCTTGCAGTCATGCAAGGAGCCAATGTCCTCAGAACTCAGCAGAAGGGAAACTTCTTCATAGGTGGCACAGAAGGTGTGTACATCACCTGGTGAAGAACCAAGGCCACTTCTGATGGGAAAGACATCACATACTTTCAGCGCTTCTCACAATGTAACTGCTTTAGTCATATTAATGGGAAGCTGCAGTTTAGACACATGTTTTGGCTGTCTTTCTGGTGCCCAAACTTTCAGGCAATTTTCAAACTTAATAAGGAACCCTGTAATGGTAGCGGCACCTCCCTAAGGCATTTTGAGGCAGGGGAGGTATCCATTCATAAAATGAATGTGGGTGAAGCAGCCCTAAGGGTCTTCCTTTAATTCTTCTGGAGTAATACTGTACCATACTGGGCTTTGCTTTTAGTAATAAGACAATAAATTAGGTTTGGAGGGAACTTTGATCTTCCTAAGAATTAAAGTTGCCAAATTATTCTGATTGGTCTTTATTGAAGTCTTTGATTTATATTACTTGTTATAAATGAAATGCATTAGCTGTCTGCCTTTTTCTTGCCAGCCCTTGTCCCACACATCCCACCCTCAACCCTAACCTTCCATTCCCTCCAGCCAATCTCTTGAGTCAATGGTGCAGGACAGAAAGCCACTCAGACTGATTGCCCTCTCTCCTTGCATTTCTCCCACTTGTCATTTCTTACCTAGCCTTTCACAAGGACCCCCTGAAACCCCTCTGTGCCAGAAGCACAGATTCCATTACTTCTGCTTTTGCATCTTTTCAGGCAAAAGTAGAGGGTGCCTTTTGGACCCCCCTCATGGGCTGTCTTTTCATACATGATCCAAACCCAAATTTGCTTTGGTGCCAGAAAAACTGAACTTGCTTGAACATAGGATAGTAATGCAAACTGTACTGTAAACAACAGTTTGTTCAAAATGTGGTGGGGACAAGAAGGAGGATGCATTTCACAAGCCTGATGACTTTAGAGCCAAATTAAGAGGAGTTCTCAGATCAAAAATTGGTTCCCATTTATTGTCTGAGTGTCTCATGGCTCCCCAGAATTCCTTAGCTGGGTTAATGGGGTCATATTGTGAATGTCTCACAACAAAATGACCTGAGTCCAGTGAAATCTCATTAGGGTTAAGAATATTTCAATGGGGCTGGCCGAGTGGCACGTTGGTTGAGACTTGGCTTGGGATGCCAGCTCTGAGCAGCAGGGCCCCTGTTTGGATCCCACATGAGGGCCAGTGACGCTGTGTCCTCTACAGCTAAGATGGTGAACAACAGCTCAACCTGGAGCAGATCTGCCGTGAGTCTCCAGTGATGGCGTAGGCTGCAGTAGGCTGCCGTGAACTACCTTGAGTGGCTGGCAGCCAACGTGAGCTGCTAAGAGCTGCCGTGAGCGGACATCTAGATGTGACTGCCTCACCTGGGAAGAGCACAATGATAATACCAACATGGGCCAGTGAAACGACGTCCTCCACAACTAGACTGAAGAACAAAAGGACAGCAGCTTGTCTGTTCCCCTTGCCCGATTCCCCAGCGCTGTTCCCCTCCTCCAATTCTCCAATAAAAATCTTTTTTTTAAAAAAAAAAAAGAATATTTCAATGATCCTTAATATTTTTATTTTTGTTTTCAGCAATTGATTTTTATCTTATAATTTCAGCTCATCTAAATTTTGTGTTCTGTACATGTGATGTTTGACTGTACCATTGACTGTTATGGAAGGTCAGCATTGTATGTCTCTCTCTACACTGTGGTACACTTAACTTGTGGATCTTTTCATACTGAATAAAGACTATTTTGAAGATTTGAATAAATTGGTGAAATTATATTACAAAAAAAAAAGAAAAGAAATATAATACCAGCCACATATGTAATTTTAAATTTTCTAGGAGCCACATTAAAAAGGTGAACTTAATTTTAATGATATATTTTATTTAAGATAACCAGAATATTATCATTTCAGCATGTAATCAATATTTTTAAATGATTAATGAGATATTTACCATTCCTTTTCTTTGTACAAAGACTTTGGAATTCAGTACAAGTTTTACACGGACAGCACAAAGCAATTTGGACTGGCTACATTTCCAGGGCTCTGTAGCTGCATGTGGCTGGTGGCTGCTGTGTTCTTCAGCGGAGGTCTAAGGCCACCAGGCTGTAATCAGCCCTTTGGAGCCAGAGGAGCGAAGCAGCAAGCAGGAGACTGACAGCACGCCCCTTCCATGCCACCTTACCTGTGAATCCCAGAAGGACGCTCTCCAAACCCCCTCCTCTTGAGTTTTTATGGAGACTTCATTAAAAAGGCATGAGTGAGGGGCCGGCCGAGTGGCGCTGGGCTGCTGTGAGTCACCGGCGACGGTGTAGGCTGCAGCCCCTGCGGCAGTGGGTTGCCATGGGCTACCGTGTGTAGCCAGCAGCCAGCGTGAGCGGCCAGCAGTCGCCGTGAGCGGCCATCCAGAAGCCGGCAACTGATGTGCTTCACCCAGGAAAAGCACAATGATGGTGCCAACTTGGGCCAGTGAAGCAACGTCCTCCACAACTATACTGAAGAGTGAAGGGACAGCAACTTGTCTGTTCCCCTTCCCCAATTCCCCAGCACTGTTCCCATCCCCCCAATTCCCCAATAAAAATCTTAAAAAAAAAAAAAAGGCATGAGTGAGCAAATCACTTGCCATTGGTGATTGGTCCAATCTCCAGCTCATCTCTCCTCCTTTCTCTCTTCCTCGGAGGTCCAAGGGCTGGAGTGGGACTGAAAATTTTAACCCTTGAATCACTAGGTGGGTTCTCCCTGCGCCAACCCCTATCCCTAGGTGCTTCCAAAAGTCACCTCATATACATAACCAAAGACACCTTTATTATTCTCAATACTTATGAAATTCCAAAAGTTTTGGGATCTGCGAGGAAGGAACCTTGGACAAAGACCACGTATACATGAGAAATATGTATATGTGTATTCTGATCATCAGAATGATCAAATCTGTATTTCTTATAAATCACAATCTCACAACAGGTAGAACCAGTGCCTAACTCACTTTTTGGACAAAGGTTCATCATATCCTTCAGCAGGTGTAGGATCTGTGGTAAGAATGCTCATCTGTTACCCAAGAGGTCCTGCCTAGAAGGGAGCCTGCTAGCCATGAGAGAACCCCAAGAAGAGGGCCTGTTCACATCATTCAGGGTGCAAAGGGCATCAGCCTCCAAAGAACCTCTGAAATAA